TTTTTTTTTAAATTAAGGATGAAAATATGTCAAATTTCCTAGGCCGGACATCACTTTTGGCCACTACTATATGGCAATTAATTAACTTTCCAACTGACCACCAAACCATATTGCAAAAACAAGCCACTTTTATGAGGATTGTGGGCTTTCATGGAGTTGTTGGAGCCACTGATTGAACTCGTGTTCACATCATTGCTTCAACTGTAAACGAGGAGACATACCAATAGAAAACGAAGCATCAGTAATAATTTGTGATAATTTTGCACAATGCAAAGCTAAAAAAAAACATTTAAATATTAAAATATTTCAGTGTCTTAATTAAATGATTTTATTGTAGTTACATTAAATGATTGGTCTTGTGCTGCTGTGACTTTACATGAGCAGGCTCACTATTGGCTGATTCAGAGGTTGAGGTCAGCCATTTTGTGTTGACATCATTGTAGTCCTTAGTTCACAACACTTAAGTGTCAGCTCAGTCAACACTTAAGAATCAGTCTTAGACTTTACTGAAAGCTGCTTTTAGCTTCTTTATAAAAGTATCCTACTCTTAGAAAAGTCCTACTTTTTACTAAGAATTTTTTGACACTTAAGTCAAAGCTTAAGACTATTCTTAAGAGCAATTCTGAGAAGTTTTATTCATACAGGCCCAGGGCCCGTATTCACAAAACATCTTAAGGCTAAAAGCAGCTCATAACTAACCGATTTAGGAGAAAATCTTAAAAATAATGGGCGTGTCAGTCCTAAATGTAGAACTCCAAAATTTTTGTTCTAAGAGTATTTCACAAAGCGTTTTAGCGCTAAAATTAGCTCCTAAATCTGTGAAACATTAGGAGTAGTGAAGACCAAATCTGAACTATCCTAAAATGGCTGTTGCCAGCAATCTACCTTGGAATATAAACATTTTAGAAACATTTGACGATAATGAGCTTTTAAAAAGGTATCGGCTTTGGTTTGGAGGTTATCCCAACTCCAAATTTTTGATTATATCCTTAATATATAGCTGTTCAGTAATATATAGCTGTATCCAGTTTGGTTTTCTTTTATGTTTGCATGTCTTACTATCAGCCATGATTATTCTACTCTCCTAATTAAAAGGCTGTTTATATGCATATTACCAAAATGTTATTAGTCGCTTAGTCACAGAAAAAAAACACATGAGCTGGCGAAATCTCGCAGTCTGTGACAGACAAATCGTTAACGGCTGGTCTATGTGGTAATATAGTACATCAGTCAGGACATCCATATGCTCTCCTAACATTCATCGACCTCAAATATGGCTTATCATCTGAAAAATGTATGTAGTAGCAACTTTACATGGCAGCTCAATCTAATCTCAATCTTAGCCTAGAAAAAAGTGCGCTGTTCACGTGTTTGTGCGTGTGTGGAAGCTGAACAGTAGCGCGCTTGGGCTACTGCATGACAGATGGAGGCGCTGGCGCATCATTTGCTCTTAAAATACTTCAACATTTTTGGTCATACAGATAAGAGAAATGCATCTTTTGCATCTGTAAAGACTCTACGTTTATTCGTCTGCACTCAGAATAACAACGAAACGTTGCGCTTTTGTAAAATAATGAAAGCAAACAGGATGCGCTTTCTGCTGTCTCGGACTCTGTGAACTTGAGCGCGTCATTCGAACTCCGTGTATGCTTGCCTTATTACAGACATGAAAAAAATATCTATAGGCCTAGAGAGTGACATTTTTAAATGAAAAAAAATTCAAATAGAAAACAAATATTCTCAGATTATGTAATCCGTATGAAACATGCATACAGGCGCATACTGTGGAGATGACGAGTCAGTGTCGCCGACTTCATCTCTTAAACCGAAAACAGAAAGCACTAGTGTAACAATAAATTATTGAAACGTTAATGCAGTGTACTTGCTGTTTTTCCCTAACACATTCATACTTATTATATTTGCCGGTGTGCTGTGGCAAGCCTTTTTTTGAGTGCGCATGAGCGCTTATTAGGCTATGTAGGCAATTAAATGCTCATTATTATGATTAATATAGTTTATTAATAAAAGTGCGACTAAAAGTCGACTAATGCTTAAAATGAACAACTACTAGTCGACCAGAAAAATCTTTAGTCGAGGGCAGCCCTAATGCATATTGACTAATTGTTTATGAGAAGAATACATATAAGAGACTGATAATTAGCTGAATATATAGACTGTTTAATTAGTGACACTTAGCCTGCATTATAAAATCTTTATTTGAATATGGCAATTAACATTTTAATTTTAAAGCTTTTATTTGAATATGGCAACATAATATCGCATTCTACAATATTTCTATGAATAAATCTCTGACAGAGACTATTAGCCAATCACTGTGTGCATAGTTAGTAATTATGCTGACATCATCCATAGCAACAAGGTCAACCTGCCCTTACCCTTTAGAGTAGACTACACAATGCCGGCTGTTCTGACTCACAGACTGTAAGTACGTTTTTATATTTTATATTTTTTTATATTTAAAGCAAGTTTTTTGGGCAGTGTAGAGTAGGGCTTGTTGTTTGTAATTTCTTTGTAAAATCACAAATGCAGACATGGTTTTATGTTTACGCGGTGCGATGCGATGTAATGCAACGCAACGTGTAAAAAGACAGTATAAGTCATTATAATCCATAATTATGTCCCCACTGGATGCAACAAATGCCTCGTTTATAATGGGTTTTCATGTTTTTGAATCATCACTCCAGCCTGACAGGGCATCATCACAGTATGGTAGGGGCGTAACATTTCCGTCACATGCTTGAGGTATTCGGCCAAACATAACGCACTGGATAGCTGGCAATCACAGCACACCTTGCTTTTCGGACCGATGAGTTTTGTAAAAATCGATGCGTTTCAGAGAGGCGGGGCATAGAGGAGAAGCAATAATGTACAGTATGTGGAAAATAATGTGTTTTTTAACCTTAAACCGCATAAACACATTTCATTACACCAAATACACACAATAATGTTCTTTTTAGCAACATAATATTACCCCTTTCAAGATTTCTGTCTATTCCTTAGTAAAAGTTTGTCTCAGCAGCTTTGTGAATAGGTTTTAAGAGAAAATTCTTAGCTAAAAACTATTTAGGAGAACTCTTAGTGGTAATGTTTTGTGAATACGGGCCCAGACGTCTATGGTACTGGTATTTATTTAAAGGAACTAAATAAATATAGGATTTAAATTGATTTAACGAGTTTGTTTGCCCATATAATCTATAAGGAAATTGTGTGTAAATTTATTTGGCTTGCTGTCCCCTGATGAGGGGGTCGATGAAGCAGCTTCAACTCGAGCTCTGATATACCCCCAGGGACTTGATATAGGATGATTACGAAGGGCAAGGTAGCTAAGATGAAGGTGGAGTTTTGGGGAGGTGGAGGGATGCTGGAACAGCTGCGACTGGAGAGAGGTAAGCAGCTGCTTATATACTCTGGCTGTTGATTGAAAGATTAGATGGGCTCGCTCCTCCCTAACTTACGTTAAGGAACTTCATTTAACGAGTTTGTTTGCCCATATAATCTATAAGGAAATTGTGTGTAAATTTATTTGGCTTGCTGTCCCCTGATGAGGGGGTCGATGAAGCAGCTTCAACTCGAGCTCTGATATACCCCCCAAAAGTGCAGAAATAAATTTGGGACAGCAAGTTGAGTTTAGCGAATTCAACATATCTGAGGGTTTAAGTATACGGGATACCCAAGTACTTGAAGAATAATGGTGATACCCCCCAAAAGGAGTACAATTTTTAAGCTATACTAATGATGATGGTGAGAGAGCCGCGCTTTGGAACTTTAATTAAGGAGCATCTTATTGCTGCACTGCTGCGGCAGTGACTTTCCTGGAATTACTCCTGCGGGAGTATCTCAGGACTGGAGGTTTGAGAGCGTAGCTGGAAGTCCACCCCGCTGCACATCCGTGCCATGGAGCCCTATGAAGTAAAAAATACCATGGGGCCCCTAGATGTCATGGATGGGGCAGGGTGTCCTCAGCTCTGAAGGGAAACGGGCCACGTACATCCAAAGAGACCCCCCCCCCCGCTGCAGAAAGAGGGAGCCCGCGGTGTATATATAAATGCAGAGCTACCACCTGAGGGACAGATGAACCTTGGTACCTCCAGTCCGCTTGTTCGGATAGGAGGGCTCCCGCTGTGATCCGAACGGGAGAGCCCCCATAGTTAATAACATGGAGGATCACACGGCGATTCGGAAAGGGGGAGCCCCCACTGCGCCCGAACAGAAA